AAAATCTGCATAGAAACAAATGAAAATGAAAACACAACAACCCAAAACCTATGGGACTCAGTAAAAGCAGTGCTAAGGGGAAAGGTCAAAGCAATACAACTTTACCTCAAGAAACAAAAAAGTCACCTAAATAACCTAACTCTACACCTAAAGCAACTAGGAAACGAAGAAATGAAGAACTCCAGGGTTAATAGAAGGAAAGAAATCTTATAAATTGGGGCAGAAATAAAGGCAAAATAAACAAAAGAAACTATAGCAAAAATAAAAAATCCAAAAGCTTTTTATTTGAGAAGATAAATAAAATAGACAAATCATTAGCCACACTCCTCGAGAAACAAATGGAAAAGAATCAAGTCAACAACATTAGAAATGAAAATGGAGTCATCACAACAGACAATACAGAAATACAAAGGATCATAAGAGACTACTATCAGCAACTATAAGCAAATAAATTGGATAACTTGGAAGAAATGGAAAAATTCTTAGAAAAGTATAACTTTCCAAAACTGAACCAGGAGGAAGTAGAAAATCTTAACAGACCCATCACAAGCACAGAAATTGTAACTGTAGTAAGATATCTTCCAGCAAACAAAAGTCCAGGACCAGACAGCTTCACAGTTGAAATCTACCAAAAATTTAGAAAAGAGCTAACACCTATCCTACTCAAACTCTTCCAGAAAATTGCAGAGGAAGGTAAACTGTCAAATTCATTCTATGAGGCCACCATCACCCTAATACAAAAACCAGATAAACATGCCACAATAAAGAAAACTACAGTCCAATATCACTGATGAGCATAGATGCAAAAATCCTTAAAAAAATCCTAGCAAACAGAATCCAACATATTAAAAAGATCACACATCATGTCCAAGTGGGCTTTATCCCAGGGATACAAGGATTCTTTAATATCCACAAATCAATCAAAGTAATACACCACATTAACAAATTGAAAGATAAAATCCATATGATTATCTCAATAGATGCAGAGAAACCCTTTGGGGAAATTAAGCTTCTATTTATGATAAAAACCCTCCAGGAAGCAGGCATAGAAGGAACATACTTCAACATATTAAAAGCCATATATGATAAACCCACAGCAAACATTATCCTCAGTGGTGAAAAATTGAAAGCATATCCCCTAAAGTCAGGAACAAGACAAGGGTGCCCACTCTCACCATTACTATTTAACCTAGCCTTGGAAGTTTTAGCTGCAGCAATTCAAGAAGAAAAATAATTAAATGGAATCCAGATTGGAAAAGAAGGAAAATTCTCACTGTTTGCAGATGACATGATCCTCTACATAGTAAACCCTAAAGACTCCACCAGAAAATTACTAGAGCTAATCAATGAATATAGAAAGTTGCAGGATATAAAATCAACAAACAGAAATCCCTTGCATTCCGATACACTAACAATGAAATAATGGAAACAGAAATTAATTAAACAATACCATTAACCATTGCAATGAAAAGAATAAAATACTTAGTGACATATCTACCTAAAGAAACAAAAGGCCTATATATAGAAACCTATAAAATACTGGTGACAGAAATCAAAGAGGATGCAAATAGATGGAGAAATATACCATGTTCATGGATCAGAAAAATGAATACAGTGAAAATGAATATGCTACCCAAAGCAATCTATAGATTCAGTGCAATCCCTATCAAGCTATCAATGGATTTTTTCACAGAATTAGAACAAATAATTTCACAGTTTGTATGGAAATACAAAAACCCTCGAATAGCCAAAGCAATTTTGTGAAAGAAGAATGAACCTGGAGGAATCAAACTGCCTGACTACAGGCTATACTACAAAGCTACAGTCTTCAAGAAAGTATAGTAATGGCACACAGAGAGAAATATAGATCAATGGAACAAAATAGAAAGCCCAGAGATAAATCCATGCACCCACGGACACTTCAACTTTGACAAAGGAGGCAAGAATGTACAATGTAGAAAAAGACAATCTCTTTAACAAGTGGTGCTGGGAAACTGGTCAATCACTTGTAAAAGAATGAAACTAGAATACTTTATAACACCATACACAAAAATGAACTAAAAATGGATTAAAGATCTAAACGTAAGACCAGAAACTATAAAACTCCTAGAGGAAAACATAGGCAAAACACTTTCTGACATAAATCACAACAGGATCTTCTATGACCCACCTCCCAGAGGAATGGAAATAAAAGCCAAAATAAATGAATAGGACCTAATTAAAAAGCTTTTGCACAACAAAAGAAAGTATAAGCAAGGTAAAATGACAGCCTTCAGAATGGGAGAAAATAAGAGCTAACGAAGCAACTGACAAAGAATTATACTCAAAAATAAACAAGCAGCTCCTATAACTCAATTCCAGAAAAGTAAATGAAAAATTCAAAAAAAACGGGCCAAAGAACTAAACAGACATTTCTCCAAAGAAGACATACAGATGGCTAACAAACACATGAAAAGTTGCTTAACATCACTCCTTATCAGAGTGATCATATCAAAACTATGATGAGATACCATCTCACATTGGTCAGAATGGCTCCTATCAAAAAGTTTACAAAGAATAAATTCTGGAGAGGGTGTGGAGAAAAGGGAACCCTCTTACTATTGGTGAGAATGCAAACTAGTACAGCCACTATGGAGAACAGTGTGGAGAGTCCCTAAAAATCTGGAAATAGAACTGCCATATGACCCAGCAATCCCAATGCTGGGCATACACACAGAGGAAACCAGAATTGAAAGAGACACTTGTACCACAATGTTCATCACAGAACTGTTTATAATAGCCAGGATATGGAGGCAGCCTAGATGTCCATCTGCAGATGAAAGGATAAGAAAGCTGTGGTACATATACCCAATGGAATATCACTAAGCCATTAAAAAGAATACATTTGAATCAGTTCTAATTAGGTAGATGAAACTGGAGTCTATTCCACAGAGTGAAGTAATTCAAAAAGTAAAACACCAATACAGTATACTAACACATATATATGTAATTTAGAAAGATGGCAATGATGACCCTATATTCAAGACAGCAAAAGAGACACAGATGTATAGAACAGTATTTGGACTCTGTGGGAGAAGGCAAGGGTGGGATGATTTGAGAGAATAGCATTGAAATATGTATATTATTATATGTGAAATAGATCTCCAGTCCAGGTTCGATGCATGAGACTGGGTGCTAAAGGCTGGTGCAGTGGGATGACCCTAAGGGATGGGATGGGGAGGGAGGTGGGAGGGCAGTTGAGGATGGGGAACACATGTATGTACACCCATGGCTGACTCATGGCAATATATGGCAAAACCACTACAATTTTGTAAAGTAATTAACCTCCAATAAAAAAAAATTAAAAAATATCTTAATAAAAAAAAACAAAACAAAAAAAAAACCCAAAAAGGACAACACACCCAGGGTGTCTTTCACCTTTATTGATTTTAAATCACATTCAGTGACTGACTTGGAATCATCAATGGGGTCTCCCAGGCATTAGAGTGCCAGAAAGAATGAATTAGGGAGCTGCAGTCCAGATAAAAGATAACATATAATTGAGTTAAATTTTGAACTCAACTCTTTGGATGCTGATGGTGAAACTTTGTGTTTTAGTTGTTTCTAAAAAGTTTTCTGAAGACATACAGGATTCTCATGGTCACATACTCTACCTTATGTACCTCCATATTTGACTGACTTCTCCTTGAAACTATTAAAACATTTCAAAATGAAAGTTAACACCAAATTAAATATTTTATATTCTTTCTTTTAAACCATGATAAACTTGTACAAGTTGGACTAACAAAAGACTATTGGGGAAGAATGTTATATGACTGTAGTTATTTAGAAATCTGAGGATATGGTGATAATTACAAGGCCAGCTTTTTTTTTTTTTTTTAGGCTCTAAGTTTCTGTGACTTTTATTTTTTTTAATTTTATTTATTTATTTATTTTTAATTTTTTATTAGTTGGAGGCTAACTACTTTACAATATTGTAGTAGTCTTTGTCAGACATTGACATGAATCAGCCATGGATATACATGCATTCCCCATCCCGATCCTCCCTCCCACCTCCCTCTCCACCTGATCCCTCTGGGTCTTCCCAGTGCACCAGGTCCGAGCACTTGTCTCATGCATCCAACCTGGGCTGGTAATCTGTTTCACCCTAGATAATATACATGTTTCAATGCTGTTCTCTTGAAACATCCCACCCTCACCTTCTCCCACAGAGTCCAAAAGTCTTACTCAGTCTTATACTAGTACTTGTGTAAATATTCTCTGTACAGACTTCCATGGCTGCTAGTGGTTAGGATTCCATGCTTTCACTAGAAGGGTACAGGTTCAAACCCTGTTCAGGGAATTATGCCTCCACAACCTGCATAGTGCCCTCACCCCAAAAAAATTATCTGTGGGTGATGATTCTGTTTGTAATGTGCACTGGGATTGGTTCACCACCACTGCTCTTCCATTGGGAATACATTGCTCCCAAAAATTTCTTAGCAAAAAGGTGGTCTAATCAATATTATTTTTGTTCCTCCAAACATTATTTTAGTCCCTAACAGTGCTAGATGTGGGTTTTAGTTGTATCAGCATATTGTGCCTTCTGAGAAGCTTTAGCTGACAGCATAGGCAAGTGAGGCAACAAAATCCATTATGAGGTAGGTGGCAAGGAAGTGATTTCTGCCTGCCTTTCTCAGGGGGAGTTTCACATTCACCACCCCCATGTGGAAACCCCTTCCCATCTGGGCCTGGCAATCTAGACCCTAATGTCTTTCCACACCCCAACTGCCGGAACACCACACCACTACTCCTTGCCCTTGAAATCAAGTGTTAAGCAGGGTTATCCATCTTTAGTGCAGACTCCTGACCCAATCCACACCTCTACTTTCTGGCTAACTGGGGACCAGAGAGTCTGTCACCAAACCTCTCAGGACCCCATATCCATCCCATCTCCAGTGCCCACCACTTCTCTTCTTTCCCCCCATTTCATCAGAAAATTCTCTCACATACAAATATCATCTTATCACCATTTGATGTTTGTTTTAATTGCAGCCATCAGTGTACTATGTTAGTGTGAGAGTCTTTTCTTGGCTGGCCATTTCTAAGAAAGCAGACCTCTGGAGACACAATTCTAAACTGTCTGATCTTTTCTATTCACTTACTGGCTGCCCAGGTTGTACTTCTCCAGGGTCTCTTATTCTGGGGTGGCTGAGCTTATCTTCTATCTTGATTCTGCCTCCTTCTTTGACTATGTCTCATATGTTGGTGCCTTTTTTGGCTTTGATTCCATTTCTTACATGCAGAGGGAGAGAAGAAAAAGATTGGCTTTCTTGTTTTCTTCACCTTCTTTGATTGAGTGGCATACGATCAGATTTTCCTTCTTAAGTTTCCTTGTAAAGGTCTTCTGACCCTCATGGTCATATTTCATGCCTGGAAGACAAGACAAGGGTATTAGTTTTGAGGAATGAAAAGAAAAACTGAGTTGGAAGGGAGATTTTATGAAAAATGGATGTGAGCTAGTGAGTGCTTTTGTGCCAGGCAAGGGCAGTATAGAGGTCTTTGGAAGCAAAGTCAATGGAGAACATGGGAAACTTAGTTAGGGTCATCTTACCTTCACACTGCCTCTGCACCTCCTTTGACAAAGGGTCTTCTTTTTTCCATTCTTCCTTGAAGCAAACCGCATTGCAAGTCTTCTTGACTGCCGTGGCTTCCTAGTTGCCTTAGTCATGATGGTGCCAAGAAGTGGCGTAACCCAGACTCTCTGCCTCTGACCTCCCTATTTATACCCTTTCAGGAAAATGAGGAGTCACACCCTTCAATCAGATTGGTCAGTTATGCACTACCCCAACCAATAATAGCTTGATAGGCATAGACATCACAATGTACCACTCTGCCCATCAACATGGGCTAGTGTATGCTGAGCGAGGCCATGATATAATGTTCCCACTGCTGACACATCTGTGTGTCTGATTCTAGGGAGTGGTGATTCAGGGGCATGGTCCTTCTCCTCATGACCTTCAACCCCTCTTTCTGTTCCCTTTATCCTTTGACTTATATATGCCACGTCAACACTTCTGGCTCCTTCATCCCTCTATAAACGTCTGCACAACCCTTTCTGTCCCTCTTCATCCTGCCAGAGTCCTCTAAGCACTTCATCTCTAGACCACATTCTACCTATTGGGGGTTCCTCAGGGGCTTAAGGAACTTAAGAGCAAGCACTTAAGGTGGACAAAGGTAATTAAGAACAGGTTGGATGTTTTATCTACTGTGATGAGCTTCAGCGAGCCCCAGACTTGGTGAATCCTCAGTCTGTTGCCCAAAGTTCAATACACAGTCTCCATAAGATTACACATCAGAGCAAAGACAGTTTTCAATGTCTGCTCCACTAAATTTTTGGGGGACACTTCAACTCTCATATTGAGTAGGGAAACTCAACTTGCCCCATCTAGCAGAAATAGATTCCTGATTATTGTTTGTTTTTTTTTTTTAAAGGAAGGTGCTCAAAATCAAGAGTCAGTTCACCACTTCACCACTGACTTGACTGAATCAATTCCCCAGTCACCCCTCCTTGACCGTTCTCAGTAGGTAGGGCCCATTGCAGTGCTGACCAATAGCTGGGCAGGGCAAGTACCTGTAGCTGGCTCATTGGTAATTGGTTACTTGTGGGTGGGGCCAGTGAGGCACTGACCAATGGCTGAGCAAGTCCTGTTGCCTAGTAACAGGAGGCGGAGAATAAGGTTCAGCAATGGCTACCTGTGAAAGGCTGTACTCATGTTGCTCTGTTACATAAGGACACATTGGGTCCAGTGTGCTGGCATCTTTTTGACTGACTCCTTTCCAACGTCAGGTTTTTATTTCACTTGCTTATTTAACTTTTGCCTATCATTTTTTCCATTATATTACCAGGCATTCCTGTCACCAGCGCTTACCTCTATGCCCCTCCAACAGCTGCCACTTGATCACATGTTCAGTATATAGTATAAATAGTTCAAAGCAAACAAGAATGTGAAGGTGAGCCTACCTTGAAATCTACTTTGACAAACCTTAAATTCACAGTGATTCTTTTTCTATTTACAGTGTAACAGAGCAGAATGGACACAACCCTTAACAGGTAGTCTTTGGTGTGCTTCATTTCAACCCACTCTGTTCCTAGGCAACAGGTGTTGCTCCACCATTGCTTGGTGCCTCAGAGGGCCCCATCCACAAGCAAACAATTGTAAATGAGTGACTATTAGCTGTCCTGCTTAGCTATTGGGCAGCTTTGCAGTGGGCCCTGCATACAGGTTACTGTCAATGAGCAACCATTTGGGAAGCAATTAAGTCAAGGGTTGTGTGGTGGTAATCAGGAAGAGACTGAAGAGGCAGATTCAGGCCTTCGTCCGGGGGCCCTGGAGCTCATGCAGACTTGGGCCAGTGGGTGAGCTGAAGGGCCCAGGGGACAGACTGGGAACTAAATGCTGTAGCGCTCCAGAGCCCTCACTAAGGCCCTCCACTAGCCTTGGCTGAAACTTGGAGAAGCAGTGTACCTCTCCCCCATCCCTGTCTCTACGACCTACTAGCAGTGGTTTATTTTCTAGGTCTCAGCCTGTGAGAACTGGCCTCCCCATTTGGATGCCCTGAGGACACTGAGGACCTATTGTGGTGGATGCCTGTCTCCATCAGGGATGACAGCTGGGCAGAGTGTGGGAACCTGGCATTGAAGGAGCTGCTGACTGAGATCTGCTTCCCCTTAAGTAGGACTGGGACATTGCAGGGTGAAAGCTGTGCCTTGAGACTGCCCTTTCTTGTTGGAACAGAGAATAACATTCATCTGGTAGATATTTATAGCAACATCATTACCTGACCATGACCTAACCTTAAGCACAAAGGGTGTGACACCAAGAAGTCTGCAGCAACTTGCCACAACTCTAACATTTGCCTTTAAACACACTTACTGAAAACTTTCAGTAACTTGGGGTTCTTAGGGCATGAGCCACTCATCCCCATGTATGAATCTTTAATAAACCTTTCCCTGTTCCAAATTCTAACGTTTAGTTTTGATGTGTCTCTTTCTGCATCAAGCACATGGACTTGGAATTTCAATAACAACAGTATTGTCTAAAGACATAATTTGCCCCTCTTAAACAACAGCAGAGACTATCCAAGTGTTCAAAATTACCCATAAGATACATGCTGACTTGACTTGGCTAAACTTTAGCCAAGCTTCTCTCCTCTGAACCTCAGCTTTCCCCCAAGTATGAGCATGCCCTAAGATTCAAACATTTCTGTCTCCCTTAGCAGCTCATTCTGAGAATCAGCTCACTACAGACAGAAACATTTCCTGTTAAGCTGCTCCATCATGCTGTCTGCTCATCTATTCCCACCACTTGCCCCATCACACACACACGCACACGGTTCCTGCTGGCCCTGCTTATCCTTCCATGTTAAAGAAACATCTTTTTCTGTTCTAGTTTGAGACATGTGAGGAACTGTGGTCAAAGCATTCTCCCTATTGCAATCAGTTCAGTTCAATGGCTCAGTTGTTTCTGACTCTCTGAGACCCCATTGACTGCAGCACATTAGGCTTCACTGTCACCAAATCCCAGAGCTTGCTCAAACTCAAGCTCATCAAGTCGATGATGCAATCCAACCATCTCCTCCTCTGTTCCCCTTCTCCTCTGGCTTTCAATCTTTCTCGGTCTCAGGGTCTTCTCCAATGAGTCAGTTCCTTGCCTCAGATGGCCAAAGTATTGGAGCTTCAGCATCAGTCCTTTCAATGAATATTCAGGACTGATTTCCTCTAGGATTGACTGCTTTGATGTCCTTTTAGTCCAAGGGATTCTCAAGAGTCTTCACCAACACCACAGGTCAAAAGAATCAATTCTTCAGTGCTCAGCTTTCTTTATGTTCCAACTCTCACATCCATACATGACTACTGGGAAAACTTAGCTTTGACCTACGGACCTTTGTCAGTAAAGTAATGTCTCTGCTTTTTAATATGCTGTCTAGTTTGGTCATAGGTTTTCTTCCAAGGATCATGCGTCTTTTAATTTCATGGCGTCAGTCACCATCTGCAGTGATTTCAGAGCCCAAGAAAATAAAGTCTCTCACTGTTTCCATTGTTTCCCCATGTATTTGCCATGAAGTGATGGGACCAGATGCCATGACCTTCGTTTTTTTGAATGTTGAGTTAAGGTAGCTTTTTCCACTCTTCCCTTTCACCCTCATCAAGAGGCTCTTTAGTTTCGCTTTGCTGTCTGCCTTAAGGGTGGTGTCATCTTCATATCTGAGGTTATTGATAGTTCTCCCAGCAATCGTCCAGCTTGTGCTTCATCCAGTCTTGCATTTCTCATGATGTACTCTGCATATAAGTTAAATAAGCAGGATGAAAATATATAGCCTTAATATACTCCTTTCCCCATTTGGAACCAGTCTGATATTTCATGTCCTGTTCTAACTATTGCTACTTGCCCTGCAAACAGAGTTCTCAGGAGGCAGGTAAGAGGGCCTGGTATTTCCATCTCTTGAAGGATTTCCCACAATTTGTTGTGAACCACACAGGAAAATGCTTTTCACTAACTGTGAAGCAGATGTTTTTCTTGAATTCTCTTGCTTTTTCTATGATCCAACGGATGCTGTCCACTTGATTTCTTGTTCCTCTTCCTTTTCTTAGTCAAGGCTGAACATCTGGAAATTCTTGGTTCATGTATTATTGAAGCCTAGCTTGGAGAATGCTCAGCATTTTTTAGGTACTGTGTGAGATGACCCTATCCCCATAGTCATTTCAAATGAAGATTCCCTCTTACATTAGTCTGGGTTTGTTTTATTGAATTGTAAAAAAAATGGACATAAATTCTTTGGTGTAATGTTTATTTCCCACTTATCATGTATTAATTAACCCCCTGAAGTTTTTCATGAACTGTTGTGGGTGCCAGGCAAATATTGTGAGCCAATACCAAGGACCCTGATCTCATGGAGCTTACATTCTAGTCAATGAAGATGGAAGGTGAGTACTAACTACGAATAGTGAATTATTCAGTTTAGAGAGAACCTTATGAGTTATGAGAAATGGGGAGTTTTTCCTCCCCAGAGGATAATGACGGAAGGCCTTAAGAATCCAGGACATTTGACCAAAGACTTAATTAAAGAAGTGAGGGAGTGACCTTGTGACTATCTTGGGCAACAAAGACTGGGGAGAGGAAATGGCCAGGGCAAAAGCCCCCAAAAGGCATTGTCTATGTCCTTCCAATAAAACAAGGAGGCTGGTGCAAGTGGGACTAGGTGAGTGAGGATGAGACTAAAAAGTGATGAGCTGCTGATGAGAGAGAACAGGGCAGGAAAAGGAGGAATGTAATAGTAAACTTATCTTTCCATTTACATGATGAATTGATTCACCGGACACAAACCACACTGGGCTGTGGTGGTAAAAGGGAGAGGCATTTGTCATAGTCTGATGGCAAGGAGGTGGGAGAGGAGTACTTTTCAGTAAAGACACCTGAGATGAATCCTGAGCCACCTAAAGTAGATAGATCACCAAGTGGAAAGCTGTGAAAGTGTTTCCCAGACAGTGGGGGAGAACCTGCAAAGGCACCGAGACCCAAGAAAGCTGGTTATACATGCCTTGCATATGACTGGAATCAAAGGTATGATGGGGAAATTGTGAAGAAACATGGCCTTGGAGAAAGAGAGAAGAACTTGAAGGGACACCTGGGCATATGTTAATTTAATATTTGGGTTACCCTGCTTCGAAAGAGCATTATTAATGTTTTCTAATTGCAAATATATTCTCGAGGCAAAACAGTATGGAAATGCAAAAAGAAGTATAAAAATGAAATTAGAGGATACCCATAAGTGTGTCAATAGAAATATATACTGTTAATATTCTGTCTTTGTTGTTCTACCTAAATGTTTATAACATATATATTGTATATATCATATAATGGTAAATATATACATATAACACACATTTTTGGATGAGCATATGTACATCAGTGATTTTTTTCAATTTATACAAATTGAATCAAACTATATGCTATATTGTAGCCTTCCTTTTCTATACAATATGCTAGGAGAATGTTTCCACCTCAACACACATGTAACTACCAGCATTTCTGAGGATTACTGTGGTGGTCAAATGCTTGCTTATCCCATACTCCATGCAAGTGCTATGAATACAGAAACCATGTGTGTCTTGTTCACTGCTTGCTTCCATATCTTTTCTATTGTAAATAAGTTTGTAATAAACATTGGGGTTCATGTATCTTTTCAAATTAGTGTTCATTTTCTTCTGATGTACAGCTAGGAGTGAAATAGATGGGTCACATGGTAGTTCTGTTTTTTTTTTTTTTTTTTTTTTTTTTTTTTTTTTTTTTTTTTTTTTTTTTTTTTTTTTTTTTTTTTTTTTTTTTTTTTTTTTTTTTTTTTTTTTTTTTTTTTTTTTTTTTTTTTTTTTTTTTTTTTTTTTTTTTTTTTTTTTTTTTTTTTTTTTTTTTTTTTTTTTTTTTTTTTTTTTTTTTTTTTTTTTTTTTTTTTTTTTTTTTTTTTTTTTTTTTTTTTTTTTTTTTTTTTTTTTTTTTTTTTTTTTTTTTTTTTTTTTTTTTTTTTTTTTTTTTTTTTTTTTTTTTTTTTTTTTTTTTTTTTTTTTTTTTTTTTTTTTTTTTTTTTTTTTTTTTTTTTTTTTTTTTTTTTTTTTTTTTTTTTTTTTTTTTTTTTTTTTTTTTTTTTTTTTTTTTTTTTTTTTTTTTTTTTTTTTTTTTTTTTTTTTTTTTTTTTTTTTTTTTTTTTTTTTTTTTTTTTTTTTTTTTTTTTTTTTTTTTTTTTTTTTTTTTTTTTTTTTTTTTTTTTTTTTTTTTTTTTTTTTTTTTTTTTTTTTTTTTTTTTTTTTTTTTTTTTTTTTTTTTTTTTTTTTTTTTTTTTTTTTTTTTTTTTTTTTTTTTTTTTTTTTTTTTTTTTTTTTTTTTTTTTTTTTTTTTTTTTNAACAAATGGGACCTAATGAAACTTAAAAGCTTTTGCACAACAAAGGAAACTATAAGCAAGGTGAAAAGACAGCCCTCAGATTGGGAGAAAATAATAGCAAATGAAGCAACAGACAAAGGATTAATCTCAAAAATATACAAGCAACTCCTCCAGCTCAACTCCAGAAAAATAAATGTTTTTAGTTTTTTAAGAAACTTCCATGTTGTTCTTTATGGTGAGTGCACAAATTTACATTCCCACCAATTATGTACAAGGGCTTCCTTTCTCCATATCCTTGCTGCCATATGTTATTTTCAGACTTTCTGATTTGATGATAGCCATTCTGACAGCTGTGAAATGACATCTCCTAGTGATTTTGATTTATATTTCTCTGATTATTAGTGATGTTCAGCATTTTTCCATGTGCCTATTAATTCATACTGTAAGTAGTCTTTCTGATCTGGTTCTTTAAACTAATTTGAAACACTTTCAAGTTCTTAGAATCATCAATAGCATGTCCCTTTTTCTTGTTGAATAGCATTCCATTGTATGGATGCACCATTTGTATATTGGTTTACCAGTTGAATAAAATGTGATTTATTGCTAGTTTGGGGCTATTATTTATAGAGCCACAATAAGCATTGGCATGAAGGGTTTTATGTGAACACAAATTCATGTTTTATGTGGGAATTATTTAGGAATGGGGTTAAACAGTTTTACAGTGTATAAATATTTATGACTAGTGAAAAACCTTTCCCAAAGTGTCTTTATCATTTCACATTCTTATGAGCAATTGAGGAGAATTTAAGTTTCTCTCTTTTTTTGAGAGTAGTTTATGTTCTCAGTTATTTTATTTCTTTTTTCCAAGGTAGTTTGCACACTTAATTCACATTAAGTGTTAATTACTAATTATTTTAACTCATTTTTATGTTTCTGAGTCATCTGTATATCTTATATCATATCTTGTGTCAACCAATTGCTATTCAAATATTTTTCCACATTTTTATTGGTTTATTTGTTGTCTTAGCAATGAGTTTGAGAGTTCTTATATATTATGGTTATAATATATT